GCCACCCTGGCGCCGCTGGTTCCAGCGGCAGCCGAAGGCGCGGCAGCGGGGGGCGCTGCGAGGCACGGCATCGCGGCCGCCGTGGCCGCCGCGGCGCGCGTCGGTGCTGAGCTGATCGGGGGCTGGGCTGCAGATGGAGCTGACGATGAGGAGGACGCTGAGCTCGCCCTGCGGCTTCGGGCCATTCGGCCAGCCCTGGCGCGCCTGATCCGTGGCGAGAGGGCCTCGGGAGCCGAGCAGGCGACTCGGAACCTCGGGGCCCACGCCTTCCTCGGTGAAGGCGCCGAGGTCCTCGTCGAGCGGCCGTAAGCCAGCCAGCGCCGCGGGCGGTCTGGCGCCCTCGCCCCAACGGATCTGGAGGCTCTCAGCCGTCCTCCCCCTGAGGCGGGATGGCGACCCAGCCTGGAGGCGAAACGCAGCAGCATGGCGCCGCCTACGGACGAGTGCGGCTACAACGGCGATGCGAAGTACGACGATGACGGGCACCAGCAGCACGTGGACGAGCAACAGCACCTGCAGCTGCAAAACCGGTACGAGATCAAGTACGGCGTCGGCGACGACGAGCTCGAGGGCTACGACGGCGATCGCGGGCCTGATGGGGTCAGGTTCGAGTCCAAGCCCGAGCTCGGTGAGTGCGTCGGCGACGGAGCGCAGGACGAGAACTCCAGTGCGCTCGGGGCGGGAATGGGAACCGCATCTGCGGAGGGGGTCAGCGTGACCCCAGTCCGGCCCCCAGACACGACGCAAGGCACGTCGACGACGACACCCTCGGCGACGCCTGCACGGGCGAGGACGGTCTCGGCTCGGGCGAGGTGCAGGCGCCCCTCGGCACCCAGCACGACGAGCGGAGCGAGGTGCAGGACGAGGGCGAGGACGAGGAGTGCACGGACGCGAGCCTGGGCGCTGGCGTTGATACGGCGCCAGGCGTCAAACCAGCGTCGGGAAAGGCGGCGGCGGCGGAGGCGCGGCCGTCGGCCCACGCGGGAAGGACCGACGGCGTCGGCCGCCGTACCGGCGAGCGCACGGGCACTTGAGGCGACGGAGGCAGCCGAGCCCGCCACGTGCACAGACAGCATGGAGGACGGCTGCGAGGCGGGGGAGGGCCGAGACCCGCGGCGCTGCCTTCGTCCTCGCGGATCGTGTGCGGTCGGCGCCTGAGGCGGTTCCTCCGCACCTCGCCTCTGGCGCGCAGTGGTGGCAGTGGAGGCTCGAGGAGCTCGGGCGGGACGGCGGCCCGAAGGCTCCCAGCGCCTGCCCGCAGAGCACGGTGGTGAACGAGGTAGAGTGCGAGAGGGACTCGGCCGATGCGAACGAGCACGAGCTGCACGACTGGCCCCAGCAGCACGTCAACGCACGGCAGCCCGACGCACAGGCGAAAGGCGATTGCTTCCTCGCAGTGCCCGAGCGGGAGGAGCCTGAGAGCCCACTCGATAAGGACGGTGATGAGCATCATGATGATGAGGCTGAAGATTGTGAGCCTCTTGGCAGCGACCCGTCGGAGTACGCTGTCAAGCACGACGGGCGCATGCAGCCAGCCGTTGCACAGCAGGACCTCCAGGAGAAGGTGGGGATCGGCTCCGCGGGCCCCGCGAGGGAGGTGCACGTCGAGGAGGAGTGCACGTTCAGGACGGACTCCCTGTGGGGCCAGGAGCAGGAGTCGGAGGCAAAGGACAGGGTTGCATTGGAGCCCGCTCTCGCCGAGACGCCGATGCGCGGGTACACCCAGGCGGTCTCCGAGCAGCAGTCCGACGTCAACCAGCAGCGCGACTCCGAGCAGCCCGAGGAGCAGCAGCAGTTCCCTTCGGAGCGGGCGGAGCTCGTAGCGCTGCGGGCCAGGTACAATGGGCTGATGGCTGGGGCTCGCGCCACCTTGGACGCCAAGCGGCGCGCAGCCCGCGAGGCGCGCGGCAGGCGCTGACGGGCGCGATCTGTCCCGGCAACTTTCTCACTTTTCTTCCGCCACGCTCGCGCGGCACTCTGCCTTCATGTAGTTGTGGCACCCTGCGGCACGGGACCCATCGGTCTACCGAGCGCGGTGCCGTGCGCTCGTGGCGCCAGGCGGGTCCGAGGATCACGAATGCCTGCGACGAGCTTGCGAGCCTTCCTGGGCTCGCTGCGCTGCTCTGTCCGTGTCGTTGGGCACGTCAAGTGGAGAGCGAACCGAGAACGTAGGTGGTAGCACTGACGTTCTGGATCAAGCTCCGCAAGCATCAGCAGAGCAACAATGTCTGTGCGGCCTGGTGCCAAAGGACTGTGTTGCTCTGGCGATGTGCACTGCTAGCTTTCGCTCGGGCCGTGCACTGCGCTTGCGGTCTGCAGCTTGGCTGCGTACCAGCCCGCCTGCCTTGTGCACTGTTGCTGCTGTTGCGGGCTGAGTCGCCGTGACTGCTCGGATGCCGTGACTACCGCTTGCTTCGGCTGGGGCGGTGGGCGGCCTCTTGGCACTCAGGTGAATCTGCGAGGGTGCGCTGAGGCGCACGAGACCGAGCGTTACCGCCGCAGGGCCAAATGGAAACGCCTCGGTCCGAGGGGCAGTACGAGCTAGGAGCTCCTGACCCCTTCAGCCCCGGGGATCATCATCATCATCATCATCAGCATCATCATCATCACCACCACCACCACCACCATCATCATCAGCATCATCATCATCATCATCATCATCATCAGCATCGTCATCATCATCATCAGCAGCAGCATCATCATCATCATCATCATCATCATCATCATCACCATCATCAACATCAGCATCTCCGCCCTCAACATTATCACCACAACCATCACCAGCATCATCAGCAGCAGCATCATTGTCACCCTCATCATCGTCCTCAGTATCTCCATCACGATCATCGGCAGCATCATCATCAGACTCAGTATCACCATCATCATCATCATCATCATCATCATCATCATCATCGTCACCATCAGCAGCAGCAGCATCATCATCGTCGTCGCCGTCGTCATAGGCATCATCGTCATCGTCATACGCGTCATCACCACGCTATCATCATGTCCCTCGTACTCCTCTCCTCCCCCTCTTACCCCTCTTCCTACTCATCATCCTCATCATCAGCACCATCACCGTCATCATCATCATCATCATCATCACCACCACCACCACCACCATCATCATCATCATCAGCAGCAGCAGCATCATCAACATCATCAGCAGCATCATCATCGTCATCATCATCAACATCATCATCATCATCGGCAACATCATCATCAGCATCATCAGCATCATCTTCATCAGCATCGGCATCGGCATCAGCATCAGCAGCAGCATCAGCAACAGCATCATAATCAGCAGTCATCATCAGCAGCAGCAACAACATGATCAGCATCACCAGCAGCATCATCATCAGCATCAGCATCCTCATCATCATCAGCATCATCAGCATCAACATCATCATCATCATCATCATCATCATCATCCTCATCCTCATCACCATCATCACCATCATCAGCATTATCATCAGTATCCGCACCTTCATCATCATCAGCAACAGCAGCATCATCATCATCATCATCATCATCATCATCATCATCATCATCATCAGCATCATCATCATCATCAACAACGACCCACCTCTCGTGAGCGCTTGGACGTGCTCCCAGGGTGCAACGTAATTCCTGCTCAGCTGCTGCGGCTGCTCCTCTTCCCCATCCTCCTCGCCCTATTCCTCGTCCTCCTCCACATCACCACAGTAAAATCATAACCACCACCACCACCACCAGCAGCATCATCGTCGTCATCATCATCACCACCACCACCAGCATCATCATCATCATCAGCATCATCGTCATCGTCGTCATCATCATCATCATCATCACCACCACCACCACCATCATCATCATCATCAGCAGCATCATCATCATAAGCATCATCATTATCATCATCAGCAGCGTCAGCATCAGCATCAGCATCAGCATCAGCATCAGCATCAGCATCAGCATCAGCATCAGCATCCTCATCCGCCTCATCATCATCATCATCTGCATCATCATCATTAGCAGCATCGTCATACTAGTGCTCATTCGCCCAATCCATATCTCGCGTCGTTCGTCTCCTCGTTCTCCTCCACCTCCTCCCTCTCCTCGCAATCATCCGCAGCCGCAACATCATCATCACTGTCGTCGCCGCCAGCGCCGCCATCATCATCCTCATCATCATCCACATCTGATCCTCATCATCCTCATCACTACCACCACCACCAGCAGTAGCATCATCAGCACCATCATCATCATCATCATCATCATCATCATCATCATCATCATCATCATCATCATCATCATCGTCATCATCGTCATCATTATCATCATCATCATCATCAGCATCATCAGCATCATTATCAGCATCAGCATCATCAGCATCATCATAAGCAATATCCCCATCATTACCATCATCAGCATCATCATCATCAGCAGCATGATCATCATCAGCATCAGCATCATCATAATCAACGTAAAGATCATCATCAGCAGCATCAGAATCATCATCAGCATCATCACCACCACCAGCATCATCATCATCATCATCAGCAGCAGCATCATAAGTATCATCATCACTAGCAGCATCGTGATCATCAACATCATCAGCATCAGCATCAGCAACAACATCATCAGCAGCAACATCGTCATCATAACCGCCAGCAGCAGCATCATCATCATCATCATCATCATCATCGTCATCAGAATCAGCATCATCGTCATCATTACTATCATCATCATCATCATCATCATCATCATCATCATCATCATCATCATCATCATCATCATCATCATCATCATCATCATCATCATCATCGGCATCATCATCATCAGCATCATCAGCATCATCATCAGCAGCATCATCGTCATCATCAGCAGCAACATCATCAGCATCATCAGCATCATCATCAGCAGCAGCATCATCAGCATCATGTCATCATCATCAGCGACCCTCCCCCCGCTGCTCAGCTCCTCCGCCTTTCCCTCCTCCTCCTCCTCCTCTGCCGTGGTGCCTCCTTCATGAGCTTTCGCACGTGCTCCCGGGCGACAACGTAATTCCTCCAGAGCCGCGGGTTGTGGTTCTGCTGCACCTCTCCGCGGGTGCCCCTCCCACCCCCGATCTGCCCGTGCGTGCGAAGGCCTCCTTTTGATCGAGGGCCAGACCTCTCCTGCGATGCCTCACCTCCTCGCTCCTCCCCTCCCCCGCCCTGCAGTGGAAACTGATAGCAGGGATGCAACATCCGCCGACCCCCCCGAGGCGTGTGCGGAGAAGTGCGCGTTAGAGCCGCCCCACCCTGCCCGCATCCAGTCCTGTCCTCAAATTGTAGCCATTGGCTTGGCGATGATCCATTCCTACACATCGTTCACGACTCTCCTTCAAGAGGCGTACGACGGAGCTGTGCACCACTGGCCGCTCCATACCGACCCTGCCCTCCACGGCGCCCCGCCCCGCGGCCCGGCACCCCTACCTTTTTGGCCTCTGTTTTTGGACCCCCCCGCCCGACAAGGCCGGGCCTGAAACCGATACCCCCCACCGCGGCCCCCCACCTCGCCCTCGGCACCCCAAGCTCCAGGAGCCCTGCTTGTGCGACACCACCCTCACCCAACACTTTCGGGCCTGAAACCCACGGATACCACCATCGCGCCCCCCACCTCGACATTTTCTGGCCTGAAACCTACCGATACCCCCCACCGCGCCCCCCACCTCGCCCATGCACCCCGAGTTCCAGGCGCTCTCTTATTGAAACGGCCACCCGACACACCGATACTTCCCACTGTCGCCGCGGCACCCCCAGTTCCAGGAGTTTTGTTGTTGGGACCCCCCAACCGACATTTTCTGACTGACACCCACCGATACCCCCCACCGCGCCCCCCACCTCGCCCCAGCACCCCCAGCTCCAGGAGCTCTCTTATTGCGACCTCCAGCCCGACATTTTCTGGCTTGAAGCCCACCGACACCCCCACCGCGCCACCCACCGCGCCCCGGCTCCCCCAGTTCCAGGAGCTCTATTATTTGGATACCCCACCCGACATTTTCTGGCCTGAAACCTACCGATGCCCCCCTTCCGCGCCCCTCACCTCGCTCTGGCACCCCCAGCTTCAGGCGCTTCCTGAGTGAGATGAAACACCCCACCCGATGTTTGGGGTTGAAAACCAACAGCTACCGTCCGCCGCGCCCCTCGCCCCGGCACCCCCAACTCCAGGAGCTCTGTTCGTGGGAGACCCACCCGACATGGTCTGGCAACACACACCCCCGCCACCCACCTCGCCCCAGCACCCCCAGATCCAGGAGCTCCCCGGAGGAGCAGGCTGCATCCTGGCCCTTTCTCCCCTCCCCGCCCCCGCCTCCGCCTCTGCCTCCGCCCCCTGCCCCCTTTCCTCTCTCTTCCTCTCAAAGGGCCAGGATCGAGGCCAATCGTCCCGCGGCTCGGCGCATCCGAGCCGATCGAAGACATGCTCGAGTGGCGCCGTGGGCCAACCAGGACCCGCCCCACAGCTTTCTCTTTCCCGAGCGACCGCAGGCACCTTCGCCCCGTCAGGTCGAGGCAGCACGGAGGGAGCTACAGGCCTGGTCCGACATCCAGGGCTAGGCGACCTCGTGGTTCCCTCCCTTTGTTTTGTGCTCTTCCTCTTTTATCCTGAGCTTAGAGCCACACGTATTGAGCACAGGGAGCCCCCTCATGCCTGCGCTGCATCAACCCATCCTCTTCCTCCTCCTGTTCCTCACCGTCCTCCCCCCCCTCCTTCGCCTCCTCCTCCTTCTCATCCTTTTCCTCCTCCTGCTCCTCCTCCTCCTCCGCCTTTCCATCCTCTTCCTCCTCCTTTCCCTCCGTCTCATCTTCCTCGTCATCCTCTTTGTCCAGAAGGCACCTGCACAACCTTCATCTTCGGGATCTTCCCGTAAGACCTGTCCCGCGTGGTGACGTCCTTCCTCGGCCGGCGGCCGCGGCTGGGCTCTTTCCATTGTATTCCCCCTCCTTGTCCTTTTCCGTTTCCTTTTCATTCGCCTGCACCTCCTCATCCTCCTCCTTTTCGTTCACCTCCTCCTCCTCCTCCTCCTCCTCCTCCTCCGTAGCCATTTTGGCTCAAGTCCTCGGCTTCTGGGGGCTGAGGACACCATAGCATTTCACTCCTGGTCGGGTCCAGGAGCTTGGGGCTCGAACAATTCTGCCTGTTCGCATCCTCCCCACAGAGTTTTTCGGGTCACTTCCCACCAGCCAGCCATGCCTGCCACCTCTGCGAAGGAGTACCTCTGCATCGTGATCTGCGGGCATGTTGACACTGGCAAGAGCACCACCACCGACCGCCTCCACTACGACCTGGGCTGCCTTCCGGAACTCGAACTGGAGCAGTTGAAGAAGGAGGCTGAACGCCTGGCAAAAGGCTCCATCGCTTTCGCGTTCTATATGGACCGTCAGAAGAAGGAGCAGGAGTGCGGTGTGACCAGCGCCTGCACCACCCAAGACTTCTACACCGAGAAGTGGCACTACACCGTCGTCATCGATGCCCCAGGCCATCGCGATCTCAACAAGGCCGACTACCTTCTGAAGAAGTCTGACAGCATGGGCTGGTGGAAGGGCTGCGATGTCAAGTACGGCAAGGACTGCGACACCGACAGATACAAGCAGTCCCGCTATGCCGAAGTCGCGAAAGAGTCGAAGATCATGCTGGTCAAGCACGGGTAGAACAAGGACTTCGTCAAGAAGGGCACGCCTGTAATGCCAAGCTACGGCTGGATGGGCGATAACCTGATAAAGAAGTCTGACAACATGGGCTGGAGGAAGGACTGCGTTGACAAGTACGAGAAGGCCCCATCCACGTGGACACCGTCTTCGATGTCCTGGTCGTGATGGGCCGCGTTTTGCCTTGCTCATGGCTTGCCGATAGCGGCAAGTCCCGCGCTGATTTACAAGTCAGGGTTCGCTCAAGACCTTCTCGCTGCCAAGATGTGTTATTCAGATATGTGGCAGGTCGAGAGCCTTACAAAGTGTGAGGTGCTTCCCTGCAGGAGGTACAATGGTCAGAGATAAAGGGCCCCCTGGAGGGTCGGTGGTTCCCTGAGAGGACTAATAGCATTGCTGTTGGTCTCAGTGGAGAGGCCCGCGGGATTAGTCATCCCCGCTCTCCTTTCACTCAGTTCTAATTGAATGCGAAGTGTATGTGATTTATCATTCGAGTAGTGTTCCCTTGAATGTGAAGTGAATGTGTTGACACGGCAGGTCGAGAGCCTCACTCAAGTGAGGTGCTTCCCTGCGGCATCAAGCATGGCAATTTCTCAAATTCAGGCAGTGGCACGACGACTGAGCACCGTTGTGTCCTTATAGCCAACCCCACTGTGGGTGCCGGCCACGGCCCAGTCGTCCTTCGACGAACTGTGTCCCCCACCACGTGCTGATCCTCCTCCTCCTCCTCCTCCTCCTCCTCCTCCTCCTCCTCCTCCTCCTCCTCCTCTTCCCCCTCCTCCTCAACCTCCATGCATCAGAATATCTATCGTCGCAGAACCTAAACAGCGGCGCGATAGTGACAATGACCGTGATGCCCGTTTTACGGGCGGTCGTGCAGGACACGTGATACTCAGGAACGCGATGCCCCAATATTGTCGTGGGAGGGTTATTCTGGAACGGCCGAACGCCCGAATCCAAATTGCAACAGACGTCGGTGCAAGGACGATGATGGATCTTCGTGCTAGCAAACGGGGGCGTATCCTCAAAGAGCCGGTGCGATAACGGTCAAAGGTGGGTGGATGAGGCGACGGCGACGCCCCTTTTTTACGGGCGGCGGTGCCGAAAGACCTGTGCGCAGGGCGCCTGCCGCTCCGAAGAATTCCACGCCCCCTGCCCCCCGCTGCGCCGGGAGCGAGACACCCGTAGAAACAGGGGGGGACTTGGAAACCCGGAGGTGAGAAAAGGATGCCAGGCCCACCCCCAAACGCGGCGAGCGTCGAAGGCCCAACCGCCTTCTCACCTCGCCCCTTGTTCCCCTTCGAATACGACACCGCATCGTCACCAGCGCCCGCCGCTCGCTCTCGCCCAGGGCCGAGAGGCACGGTCTCGAAGCCAACCCATCCCCATTTTGGCCTCCGCGGTCGAGGCCCCCCTCTCGCCGAGACCCCCGCCCCCGCCCGCGACGGAAAGGTGGGGACCCCCGAGGGCGGGAGAAAGACCCAGCCGTGGAGGGGCCCGCCGACGGGCGGGGGCTCGAGACTATCCCGCAGGCGCGCCACGCCACCGCTCGGATAACTCACCTGCACGGGGGCCGCCATCGAACCCCGCCCCGGACGCGATCAAGAGCGAACGCTCGACGGCCCCTCAGCGGGGACGTATTTCGAGCGGTCGCACGCTGCAACCGCGGCCCGCGTCACCGCGGCGGGCGCGGCCGACCGGGCCGCCCGCGGGCCGCCGCCTCCAGCGCCCTTTCCTGGGCGATGGTCCCGTGGAGAACCTGGGGAGCCTTCGCCGCGTCGCCCGCCCTGCGCCGCCTCGCCCCCTCCGGCGCGGCACCGTTGCGTCGCGGCCAGCGCCCGCACCCCGAGGCGCATCCATACGCGCATCCTGCCCGCCGCAGGACCGCGCGGCGGCCAGCTCTCCGAATCGCGAGGGCGCGGCTCCTGCCCCGAAGGGCCGCGTGAAGCCACGCCGCTGCCGGCGCTTTCCCCCGCGGGCCACCGGCGCGCGCGCGGGCGCGGCCCCGCCCCGAAGAGTCGCACGGGGCCCGCCTCCGCTGGCGCCCTCGGCAGGCCCCCCCGGCCCATATCTCATGCGCGCGGGCGCGCCCGCGCGAAGCTGGCCCCCTTCCTAGCCCTCGAACGCGACGGGCGTCGCGAACTTCTGTCCACTGCCACGACCCCCGCCGATCTCTCAGCCCAGGCCTGACCGCCCACGCCAGGGGGCCCCTTCCTGCGGCGCTGGAAGGCAAGGCATCCGCGGTCCCCGAGGGCGGCCCCTCCCGGGGTCTCCGACGGGGTCGCCCCCGCCACGCCCGGGCGCCCCCGCGCGGTCGCCACCTCGCTCGCGCGGGCGACGCCGCGTCGCTCCACGCCCCAGGCCCCAGCTGGGCGCCATGCTGCTTCGCGCCCGCGCTGCACCGGACGCGGGCGACGTCGCGGCCGCCAGGACCGACGCCGCTCGACTCGGGGCTGCCCCGCGCGGGGGGCTGGAGCTGTCAGCGAGGACGCCTTATTTGGGGGCAGCCAGTCGCCCCGAATCGATCGCCCCCGGGTCCTCGGCGCGGGCGATCTGCCCCGCGGGCCGCGCGCAACCCGCGAGTCGCTCTCGGCGGGGCACCGACCCGCGACGCCTGCGACCCCGAGGCGTCGAGGATGCTGCGGCACCGACGGAATGGCCGCGCGCCCCGACCTCGAGTTCGCTGGCTAGCGCGATCCGCTCCAACCCACGGGTCTTCGTGAGCTCGGCGAAACTCTGACGTCGGTGATAAGCGAAGCGAAGGCCTCGTGCCGGACCCTCTAGCAGCTCCGAGCGGACTTCCCCCCCGACCTCAATGCCGCTGAAGGTCCCTGCATCGGGCCCGATCATCCACTGCGACCTCGTGCGCGGCGAAGTGCGCAGGCCGCCCCCCCCCGCGCGCGCTCTCTCCTGGACCGCCGACCCCACCGTCGCGCAGGTGTCGCGGCCGCTGCTGCGCGGCCGCGCTTTGACCGCCTTGGCCATTCTGTCTGGATCACCGTCGTCCACGGGGCGTTCTCGTCGCCGCCGCCGGCGGCCCTCCATTCTGCCGTCCTCGGCGTTCCTGGCGCGGCCCAACTGGCCGCCTCCTGGCCCGACGCACGGCCGCGGGGCGGCGGCGCGCCAGCGCGCGGGCCGGGCCCCCGCCGCACCCACCCCATCGCGGGCGGGTCCATCGGCCGGCCTTTGCTGGCACCGCCAGCGCCGAGGAGCACCTCCACTTTCGCGACGACCTGCCGGGCCTCTGGCCGAGCAGAGGGCCCGGCGCCCAAGTCCAGGCCCGCCGCGCGCCCCGCCCCCGCCACGGCGCGCAGCGCCTCGCGGGGCCCTGTCAGCCCGCACGGCTCGGCAGCCCCGGCGCGCGCAGTCGACGAGGTGCACGATCGCCCTTGGCCCCGGGACGCGGGACGCCGCGCGCGCGCGGAAAACAATCCGCGAATCGCCCCCACAGCACGCACTCGCACCCACCCCGCATCGACGCGCGCGCGGCCCGCGACGCCGTCCTCTCGACATCGAACAGGACACCACTGGCCCCTGGGCGCTTCCAGCAACCATAAGGCAACCCATCAGCCCCAGGCACGGAGCCCCAGTACGCCTGACGAGTTCGGCGGATTCATCGCTCATTCGAGACCACGCCACATCACGAACAGGCACATTAGCACGCTGGATGCGAGAAGCGAGAGCGGGCCAGAGAGCAAGACTGAGCAGCGAAAACGAAACCCCAATGACGAACGAGTTCGGCACCAGCATGCCGCGCAGACGCACAGGGTAGACCAGCGCGCCCCACTATGGCGTTACCAAGACGAACCGACATGCTCAGAACCCGCCACCGCTCATCATTACGCCGTACACGCGCACGCTTGCGCAACACTTCGCGACCAGGGCCTCTTCGACATCCAAGAATTGATTGTTCGACATAGCGACGCGTGCACACAGCCCAGGAGGACCAGAGAGGGCGCCAGCATCCGCGTCAACAGAAGAAAAGCACCGGCCAGGCGCGCACGGAGCGAAGGAGAATAAAAGGGCACACTCGGACGGACCACGGAGAGCTGTAACACATCAGCGGGAAAAGTCATGCGGAGAGGTCGCCAAACGAGAAAGCATCGTCTTCCAACACCCAGCACGCACCGCGCCCATCGCCACTTCGGCACTAGCCGACGCACGCGGATCGGCAAAGACTCATCGGGCGCCTCAGTCGCGCCCACCAGAATTCTACGAAACTCAAAAGGTTTTGCGGCGCAACCAAAGAACGGAAAAGGACCGCCAGACAGTCGGGGCTTCGGGGCAACAGTGATCACCACGGGAACAGGATTGGACGGGTCATTGAAATCCGATAGCACTCCGACGGTAGCACCAAGCACAGCAAGACCAATCAAGACCGCTGGATGAACGCCAACGCGTCCTCAATCGAGTCGACCAGTCGAGTTGGCCTCGCGACCCTGTCTAGCGCGGCGGGCGCCCTGCGACTGAAAGAGCCCCGCCCGTTCCCTGAAGACAGCAACCCACCTGCGAGTGGAGGCCGCGCCGCCTCTGCTGGATCGCTGTCTCAAGATTCGACCGCCCCTCATCAGCGACCGCGCCGCTGAAGTCAACCAGGAGGACGCGCGCGCCAGAGCAGGCGGGAAGCAGAACAAAAAAGTCGATAAGAAGGCCGCGACGATAATAGTCAGCCCCTACGTCGGAACTCGGCACGCGACCGGCAACAAGCCCCGGGAAACCAGAGTCGCTCCAACCCAGAACGCACGACGCCTTACCGCGATTCAGACACTGCAAAATGAAACCCATGCAGCACCCAGCCACTTCCCTTCGAATGCAAACCAGGACCCTGCGCCCATGGAGATCCCCAGGATGCGGGCGAAGTAGTCAAGTCCCCAAGATGCCCGAGCGACCCCTGCATACAGACTATTTTGTTGCGCCTGATCGAAGCACTGCACCGCTTCCAATGCGCACATGCACGCACTCGCAAACTTCCAACGCCAGCAGAGAGACCTCGAGCATCCCGAGTGACGACAGATAGCGGTCTCTTCTGGTGGGGAGGTACAGCCACGCCCCACGCGCCCCTGGGACGAGTTGCGACTCTCGAAACTGCCCTGCACACAATGTACATGCAGTATCCTGCGTGAGCCTCCCAGCCCCTGCTGGGGGCCCATGACCTTGTCCACATTGATATGTTGCTTACCTCCTAGCCCAGGAGCCTCGAAGTGGCAGGCCAAAGCGACTACACAGGGGCATCTCCTGAACTCAACTTGGTTTCAAAACGTGGAATGGCTTCACTACATCACCTGTCTCTTCACTCGTTGCAAGAATGTTATGCGAAGATGCTCCCGTTACCCACTGGTGGACCGATGGACAATTTCACGAGGGACGAGTTGGCATTGACTTCGCTGTCGCCTCGACGTCGTCAAGAGTCTTACCGCTTGTTCGTCTCACCATCAAAGAGGGGCTTAAGACGCATGACATGGGGGAGCCTTGGGGGCGGTGAACTCGAAACCATCAGGATAATCCCTCCTATATGTGTCGACCAGATCAGAGGTTGCATCTCCCGACGGGAACGCTATAATCACTTTCTTCGAACAGTTCTGAGGGGTGACCTTTCATCACCGACTTCACAGGCTCACTAGCACTAGTAAGGAGAACTGCGATTGCCATCTCTAAGAGCACTTACCAATTGAATTTACGGCCGGCTCCCACGAAGATGGCCTTCGACAACTGACCGGGGAAGCCGAAACGAGGACGAGGCGTGTTTCTGGGTTGCTGCCATCGCCGCCATTGTCGCTGCCGCCGCCGACCTCATTGTCTTTCGCCCACGAAGGAAAAGAAGCCACCTTTTTCTCAGTCTTTGCGATTATCCCTTTCCGCTCGTCCAATCCAACTTGCAGAACCTAGACATGAGCAACAAGCTCCGAGACCTGCGCCGTGACCGATGTTAGGGACTCAGTCATCTTCGCCGCCTGAGCTGTCAGTTCAGAAATAAGCATATCGGTACCCTTACGAGCCATCGCACCCGACAGATCAAGATCTGGGTCAAGTCGGGAGAGCGGCCAGGCAGGCCTGGGCCGCTGTGCCCAGAGCTCGAATCGCACTGGCTGCGACCAAGCTCGAAGCGCCAGGGTCGCACGGTTCGAACGTGAGCCAAAATGTCTTGAGCCAAGATGGTACTGATGGTGTTGCTGGCGCTGATGATTATAATGCTGATGAGAACGAGGGAGAAGAGGACGACGCGGAAGGAGATGATGTTGGTGATGATGTCGAAGAGGAAGGAGGAAGGAGGCGGAGGGAGGAGGAGGAAGGTGAGGAGATGCCAGCACCTGCTGATTCAAAACGAGACCGAACACATCAGAATGACTGGGACAAACTCGACCATCCTGTTTTTTCCCACAACGGTCTCAAAAACGCCCAAAAAGACAGTAAAACCGAGGCCCGACCGAAACAGGCACTGGCCGGGACAGACAGGCAGAACAAGGCCTGGAAGGTCGCACCGACGCGGCGAGTGACCGAGGTAAACCGACCGAGTGCAACCGACCGCGACGCAGTCGACCGAGCCAAGTCGCGAACGCGCATTGAACTCAGGATGGCCCCTGAGGCCGAGACCGCCACAGGGACCACCCCGACCTCTGGCCGAGCCCGAGCGGAGGCGAGGGTCCACGTGCGGTCCATCAGCTCCTGGACGGCGTCGATCTGATCCTGGACGGCGCTCCTATCTTCTCCCCACTGTACACTGATCATCTCTCCTCACACCTCCTCCTCCTCCTCCTCCTCCTCCTCCTCCTCCTCCTCCTCCTCCTCCTCCTCCTCCTCCTCCTCCTCCTCTTCCTCCCTCCTCCTCCTCCTCCTCCTCCTCCTCTCCTCTCCTCCTCCTCCTCCCTCCTCCTCCTCCTCCTCCTCCTCCTCAGGAGGAGGAGGAGGAGGAGGAGGAGGAGGAGGAGGAGGAGGAGGAGGAGGAGGAGGAGGAGGAGGAGGGGGGGGGCTTTCGCCTTCTGACTCCGAGAGCTATCCTCATCCGGGGGTTCCGCCCAGCAGGGAGGGCCCTGGAGCCGACGGAGCGGGCTGGCGGGGAGCGGGCCCCCGGAGGCACGCCGCGGGGGGGCGCGCCTGCTTCGCGGGCAGGAGCATCCTGCTGTCACCCTGGCGGCGCGCACGGAGGCAGGCGCACCCAGATCTCCGACGAGATGTTTTTTACACACACACACACACATACACAAAAAAAGGCCCAGGGACACACAAATAAATGCACACAAATCCCCGGATTCCCCGTGTTTCCCAACATTTTTGTTGATCTTCGTCTTCCACCCCACTTCCCAAATTTTCCCATATTTTCTGGGGGATCGACGAGTCATTGTGTCTGTGTTTTTCCCCCCCGCGATTTCTCGACCACGGCAACGACCAAGGGGTGGAGGAGCTTCGGCAGCGACGTGCTCCTGCCGGTCGAGGCGGCGACCGCGCCAGGGGAAAGCAGACTCGCCCGCCCCGGCAGGAAGGGGGAGGAGGAGGAGGAGGAGGAGGAGGAGGAGGAGGAGGAGGAGGAGGAGGAGGAGGAGGAGGCGGAGGCGGAGGCGGAGGCGGAGGAAGAGGGGGAGCGAGGGGGGGCGGGAGCTTCTCGGGAGGCGCGAGGGGCTGCTGAGAAGCCCCGCGGGCCTGCCCCCTCGGCACTTCCCCCCTGGGCTCGCCCGCCGAGGTGAAGATCATCACGTGGCGTCCGGCCGTCGGAGTAAGTTACCGGTTCAACCCCGTCGCTTTTCCTCGACCCTCGGCCCCCGGGGCCCGTCGTCGGGCCTGGGGGGCCGTCACAGAGGGCTGGATCGGGGGCGAAGCGCTGCCCCCAGGGGAATGGCTGGGAGCTCTGAGGAGCCGCGACGGACAGAACAAGACACAAAGATCAGCGGCGACTTGGGTCCCAGACTCTAGAGGGCAGAAAGTCCACCCCTCATAACAATCACACCGACACGCGAAGCCGTCTGGTAAACGCGCCCAAAGGAGGAATCAAACAGGGCAGGGCTGTTCAGTAAACGCCAAGAGCCGTTTGGTAAACGCCAATTGTCGGGTCCGGGTGATTTTTCCTCCCTCGACAGACGGGATCGAGACAGCCGAGGGACGCATCGGAGCCGAATTTGGCACAAGTGGAGAAGGACAGCAAGCGAGGAGGGGGAGGACGCCGCGGGCGGCGGAGCACGCTCAGGCCGTGAGGGTGTCTTGCACGGTGCGTGCCAGAGCACGGGCCTACACGGGCAGCAGGCCGGGAGTGGCCAGGGCGCAACGGAGCGGAACAAAACACCGAGGCGCGCACCACGGAGACCCCGTGGTTGTCCCCGTCCACTCCCGCCGGGGATCGCTAAAAGTGCCCCTGGCCCAAGGTGCCCCCAGCTTTTCGTTCCATTCTGGAGCCCCTGGGGCCCTCAAGGCCTCGGGAGGGGTGCTCTGGAGGCCGCGGGGGCCTCCTTGGAAATCCTGGGGAGTACATTGGGCCAGGGGCACTTCGAGCAACACCCGATCCCGACCTTCCCTGGGGGGCCCTCCCCCCAGAGCCACACAGTGGGGGCCAGTCGACAAGAAACCTTCCACAAGAAACCCAACCCTGAGACCCCAGGACGTCCGTTGATTTTTGGCGCGGGGGCTTAACGCTTTGCATCGCCAAACAAGCGAAACCCAAGAAGCCCAGGGCGCCATGGAGGCAAGCAGGGTGTTTCTTGGCGTGGGTCTCCGCTGTACAGCCGAGACGCGGCCACGAGAACGCGCGTCAAGAGCAGGAGCCCCCCTCGCCGAAGGCCCGAGGCCCGAAGCGAAGAGCGCTCTTCAAGGGCGGAGGGCCCACCCGCGACCCAACCCGCGACCCAACCCGCGACCCAACCCGCGACCCACCCCGCGACCCACCCGTGACCCACCCGCGACCCACCCGCGACCCGAACATCAAAGACACAACTCAAGGGGCGGCCCAGGGACACCAAAACAAATACACACAATTCCCAGGACTCCCCATATCTTCCATATGTTCTGGAGCTTCCTCTTCCCCCCACACGCACACTTCCCATAGTTTTCCATATGTCCCTGGGAATCAGCGATGAGTTGTGTCTTGATGTATCTTCCCTCTTGGACAAAGGGTGCACCTCCAAAGCCTGGGCTGGTCTGAACCCTCGTGCCAGCTGTACCCGATCTGCTCCACCCCTCACCTCCTCTCGTGGCGCAGAGAACGATCACGGAGGAAGGCTTTTGGCCATTTTCGGCCTCTGGGAGCCTCACCGGGCCCCAGGACCGCCCAAAAGCGACTCGAAAATGAGAAGCTGGTCCCCATGAAGGGGGCTCGAAGATTTGAGAGGCAGCGCCGTGAAAGAAACGCCATGTCTGATGTCTGGGAAGCCATACCCGGTTTGCTCTCTCTTTTCTCCCCCAACTGTGGACAAGATTGGGATACATCGCTGTCCCTGGGCCGTAACAGTCCAGTCCCTCCCCGACATCGTACATCCATCCTCTTCCAAGTCCCCATCCTGACCCTCCCCTTCTTCTCCACTTGCCGCGCACCATCCTGCACCACGACCCAAGACGCGGGCGCACTCGACGCCTATCTATATCGGCATGCACCCGCGACAGAATCCAATCTGACAGAAGATCCCTGCGGGAACGAGCGTCTGGGACTTCTTGTGGGAAGGCACATCCTGCACAAAAAGGGCGCAGCAAGAAAGGAAGGCATTCTAGGGGAACGAAGAATGACATAAACATAAAATCTCGGAGGTCCGCACGGACTTCTCGGATCGGCACTGGACCCCCCTCCCTGGCGCGCGGCGCACGCCAAGGGCGACGCCGGAAGCGCCGCCAGGGGGTCCAGCGCGGATCCGAGAGATTCGCGAGGACCTCCGAACTTTTATAATTTTTCCCGCGAGGCGTGGAGCACAACCGTGCTAGCCGCAAGCTGCTGACAGTGTACGGGGTGGGGAATAGAGAAAACCAGCGAGCTTGGGAAAAACATCATGCTACGCTGGGTGCGTGTACAAGTACGTGAAAGAACTTCAAAGCATCCTCAAGAGCAATCGCCTCGGCAGTGAAAGACGCGATAGGAGAGGTGAAGAATCTGCCCGCCATGCAGAGCGGGAAGACTACCGACGCTCCATTCACAAATGCGTTCGTCGTTCCGCAAACTTTGGGCCATCTTGGGCCCAGCGTGGACGTCTTGGGGCGCTCGCCGGGGCCCTCCAGGGCCGTCTTGGGGCCCTCAGCCGGGGGTTTCCGAAGTTGTCCCAGATCGGTTTTCTAAACCTACACGTACTCACTGTACTAGTTAAACTTAGGTCGGGCGTGTCCCCCTGCAGGCAGATTTGGGAGGATGAATAAAAAACAAAAAATACCCACAGACGATCAAAAAACTAGTCGAAGAATCGTCCCCTGATTTTTTGTGCTACTTTTTGATGTTCCTCCTGCAGAGGGACATGCCCGACTTCAAGTTCAACTTGTGTTGCACCTCGCTCGCCCATCCAGGAGGCTCGAGCGTGCCTGGCGAAGCCATCCTCATCGAAACAAGCTCCTGCCTCGACGCGCACAGCACCGCGGCCGCACGGCTCAGTCGAGAGCGTGGCCGAGCGCACCACCTCTGCGGCGAACTCGGGCCCCACTCACCATCACTGCTTGTTCCCACATCCAAAGGATGGGGTTCTTGTTATTCCTCCGAGCGCGCCGACTCCTTCTCCTTCCTCCTCCTCCTCCTCCTCCTCCTCCTCCACCTCCTCGTGTTATGTTATGGTATGTTATGCCATGGTATGGTATGCAATGTTGAGTTATGTAGTTGGTTATGGTGTGTAATGCGATGGTATGTAATAAGATGCTGCGCTATCTTATGGTATGGTATGTTCTGGTATGCTAGGTTATGTCATGGTATGTTTCCCCAGATCCAAAGGATGGGATTTTGTTCCCAATATCCAAAAAATTGGGCTCTTAATATTACTCCGACCGCGCCGAGATTCACCGTCTCCGTCCTCCCTCCTCCTCCTCATGGTATGTTATGGTATGGTGTGTTATAGTATGTTATCTTACATTATGGTATGGTATGTTGTGCTATGCAATGCAATGCTAAGTTGGGCTAGGTTATGAGATGCTTTGCTATACACTCGTATGTCATGATATGGTTTTATGTTTCATGGTATGGTATGGCATGTTATACTGTGCTAGGTTATGTTATGGTATGATAACGGCAGTGGTGATGATGCTGATGATGATGATGCTGATGATGATGATGATGATGATGATGATGATGATGATGATGATGATGATGATGGTAATGATGATGTTGCTGCTGATGCTGCTGATAATAATAATGATAACAATAGTAATAATAATAATAATAATAACAATAATAATAATACTAGTAATAAGAATAATGATAACAATGATGATAATGATGATGATGATGAGGATGAGGATGAGGATGAGGATGAGGATGAGGATGATGATGATGATGATGCTGCTGATGATGATGATGATGAGGATGAGGATGAGGATGAGGATGAGGATGATGATGATGATGATGATGATGATGATGATGATGATGATGATGATGATGATGATGATGATGATGATGATGATGATGATGGCGGAGCTAATTCTGAGGATGTCTCGAGCGAGGCGCGGGCTTCAGCACCCCCAAGGGGGAGCCGCCATGGGGTATTGCACTCCTCCGTTCGCGCCAAAATGGCGGGGATATCTCGAGCGGTTTACCCGTTTGCTGCCGCAACATCCTCCGCTTTCGGAGCAGAGTTGGAGGATGTCTCGAGCGAGGCGCTCATTTTCGCCCCCAAGTGGGGCAGAATTTGAGGATGTTTCGATCGGTTTGCCTGTTTGGGTGGCCAAACTCGTGGGCACGGATCCTCCCCAGGATGCCACAGGAGGCTCCGGCAGGCTCCAGGAGGCCCCAGGAGGCAACACGAGGCCACAGAAGGCATCACGAGGCCACAGGAAGACTCATACCACAGGATGCCCCAAGAGGCTTCAGGAGGCCCCAGTAAGATCGAGAAGGCCTCAGGAGGCTCCAGGATGCTCCAGGAGGCCACAGAAGGTCACACGAGGCCCCAGGAGGCCACAGGAAGCGCCAGGAGGCACCAGGAGGCCCCAAGAGTCCACAGGAGCAGGAGGTCTCAGAAGGCCACAGGAGTGACTCTAATCCCATGTGTTGTACGTATGCTCCTATAGATGGTGCCTCCCCAGGAGCACGAATCCTTGGTGTTCTACGTATGTTTCAATAGATTGTCCTTCTCCTGTGTATCCAATCCTGAATGTCTTACCTATGTTCCTATAGATTGGGCCTCCCCTGGGGCACGAGTCCTTGGTGTTTTACGTGTGTTCCTATAGATTGCCCTTCTCCTGCGGCTCCAATCCGCAGTTTTTTATTTACGTCTCTTCCTATAGATTGGGCCTCCCCTGCGACACGAATCCTCCCAGGAGGCCCCAGGAGGCTCCAGGAGGCTCCAGGAGGCCCCCGGAGGCCACACGAGCCCCCTGGAGGCCTCAGGAGGCCACAGGAAGCTCCAAGAGGCCACAGGAGGCCCCAAGAGGCTCCAGGAGGCCGCAGGAAGCCCCAGGAGGTTTCAGTGGGCCCCAGGAGGCCCCAGGCTCATGCGCAGAGACGCGCTCGTACAACTGAGACTCGTTCACACTCCAACTCATTCACAGTTAGATTCAATCCCAGACCGTCAAGACTCAAGCCCATTAATATTCGAAAACTCTTGCGCCTAGACACTCACGGCGGACAGGTCCATGCTAATAGATGCACATATGGGAAGCTACACGCAGTGAATGATTTTTATTCGAAAAAAGACCGCCGCCTCGCCCTTGCCGCTGCCACCGTGCCTTGGGCACGGAGTGGGCGTGTCCTCAGGACCTTTGCCGAATCACTGGAGCCTCAGTCCTCAATCCTGAAGAGTCTTCAAAGGGGCCTGGACCACAATTTCCGGAATCTCCTGGGGCTTCCCGGGTGCCCCCTGGGCTCTCCCGCGTGGTGGCGCATGACTTTCTGGGGCTCAATAAGGCCCCTACACTGGCCAAGAGGGCTCCAAGAGGCCGCCAAGAAGGTCCAAGAGGGTCCCCAGACGCCCAGTGATCGCTCCAAGACGCCCAAGATGTCCCAAACACGGCCCAAGAGGCGTCCAAGAGGCCTCCCAAGAGGGCCCCAAGAACCAAAAGGTAGGTTTTCGTCGGATCTTGGCGTTCTCGCCTTTCCGGCTTCCCGACGCTCCCAGGCGGCCCTGGAGGCCCCCCGAGACCGCACCAAGACGACCCAAGAGGCCCCCAAGAAGGCCTCCAAGAAGGCCCCAAAACGACCTCTGCTTTCTCTTATTCGGAAGAATTCGAAGACCTTCCCCCTCGATGTGGAGGTCGGGCTCGAGCCCCGAGGGAGACAGGCTAAGCCCAAGGAGAAGGAGGGCTACCGAGTGGCGGCGGGGTGCGGCGCGCCTCCGCGGGAACCTTCTGCCACCACGAGGGGTACTCGACCTGCTGCTGGCGGACGGCCGGTGTGGCGGAGGGGGAAGGAGGGAGGAGGAGGAGGAGGAGGAGGAGGAGGAGGAGGAGGAGGAGGAGGAGGAGGAGGAGGAGGAGAGGGAGGAGGGAGGAGGAGGAGGAGGAGGAGGAGGAGGAGGAGGAGGAGGAGGAGGAGGAGGAGGAGGAGGAGGAGGGAGGAGGAGGAGGAGGAGGAGGGGACGAGGAGGAGGAGGAAGAGGAGAAGGAAAAGGAGGAGGAGGAGGAGGAGGAGGGAGGGGAGGTGAGAGGGAGGGATAAGCCAGGCGCGCTCGCGCCATCTCTGACATCCTGACCCTCCAATCCATCCCTTCCCTAGACAGGCGCGTTCCACTGCTCGTCAGGTAGCTACTCGCAAAAGGCCTGGATCCGCCGCGTGTGGTCGACGAAAGATTACATCGAAGCAGAGATGTGTTCTTCGGGCGTTTGCGAGCAGGCACTCTGCGAGCAGCGGAGCGCGCTTGGTGATTCCCGTTGCGCTGACTTCTTCGCGCTCCGCCGACGTGTGACATAGCGGACCTGGGAATCCCAAAAGGACCCCATCGTGCTAATCGTGCGCAATCGGGAAAGGGGAGCTACCAGGGAAGGAGGGAAGAGGGTCCTCCTCCTACTCCTCCTCCTCCTCCTCCTCCTCCTCCTCCTCCCTCCTCCTCCTCCTCCTCCTCCTCCTTCTCCTCCTCCTCCTCCTCCTCCTCCTCCTCCTCCTCCTCCTCCGAGAGGAGGAGGGGAGGGAGAGTGGAACCAACGAGGGAGGACCGGACCGACTCGGCGGGCGGGCCCGTCAAGAACCACAGCGACGCCCACGAGAGAGGAAGGGAGGGGGGGAGGGAGGAGAAACCAGGGAAGAGAGGGAGGGAGGGGGGAAGAGAGGGAGGAGGAGAGGGAGGGAGGGAGGAGGAGAGGGAAGAGAGGGGAGGGAAGAAGAGGGGGACCAGAAGGGAGGACAATGGCCTGGGCCGGTGGGGGTCAGGCGAGGAGGTCGGCCCCCACCCGCACCCCGCGCGGGCCTTGGTGTGGAGGTGGGCCCGACCTTGCAGACGAGCTGCAGCGGATTTGCACGTGGAGTTCTGTCAGCGCAAAGCCCCGAAACGGCAAGCGAAAAACCAGGTGAATTTCGTGTGGATTGGTTTTAGACTTCATTCCTGGCCAAAACAAGTCCGCGCGAAATTCACTTCGAAATCCGGGACGAGATTCTCCAGGACCCTCCTGGCCCATCCCACTGCTTTCCGAACGACATCCGCGGTGCGATGTTGGCGCCGTGACGCATGCCAACTCCGAGCGCGCCCGCAAGCGCGCGGCGCGTGAAGGCCTGCAGGCGCTCGCGTGCCGGCGACAGGCGAGCGCCCCAGGTCTCCGACGACGAGACTTTCCCTCGGCAGCCCGTCTGCCAAGGGTGCCTCTCAGAAGAGTGTTCACCAGCGAGGGCCCAAAGCGGTGCGCTTCTGGCAAGATCTGCTGTGCCATCTGCGTGGTGCAGATCTGGTTGTGCGACCCATGCTGTGCAAGATGTGTCGTGCGGTCTGCGTGGCGCAATGCACGTTGTGCACTCTGTGTGCTGCAATGTGCGTTGTGCAAGACACGTGGTGCAACAAAAATGCGGTTCAATAGATTTTGTGCAAGCTGTGTGGTGCAGTCTGGGTGGTGCAATCCGCCGGCCCCCTTGTGGGGCCATCAGGCTGCGCGGCTTAGGCTTGCTGCTCCCTGCTCCAGTTCCAGTTTCAAGTCTCCCATGTCATAGTCCTACTTTCTATACCCCGAGTGTAACTTGTTGAAGTCCACGCGGCGGGGGGGGAGCTCAAAACCGTCCAATGCACAGTGCCCGAAGCGCGTTCTCTAATTCCTGCGGGGCCGTGGGACACGTAACAATACACGAGATTCGCGCCCCCGAGGCAGTAGCCCCTCGCAACGTACGCAATACTCGCGCCTCCAAGGCCACGATCCCCCGTGAAACAATACTCGCGTCCCCGAAGCCACGATCCCTCATAGACTACCCCATAACTGCGTCCTCGAAGCTACGAACCCTCGAAAAGTACGCAATGCTCGCGACATCGAAGCCATAAACCCTCCTGAATTACCCAACATTTGCGTCATCGAAGCCACGGCCGCCCGTAAATAATGCAATGCTCGCGTCCCTGAACCCACGACCCTTCGAAAATTATACCAGATTGGCGTCGCCGAGGCCACGATCCCACGTAAATTACGCGATATTCGCGTTCCCACAGCCTGGATCCCTTGCAAATTATGCAAGATTTGCGTCCTCGAAACCATAATCTCTCGTAAAATACAAAATTGCTCGCGTCCTCAAGGCCATAAACAATCGCAATGTGTACAATGCTTGCGCCCCCGGCGCCACGATCCCCACTAAACTATGCAATATTCGCGCCCCCGAAGCCATGGCCCCGCGTAAGCTCCGCAACACTCGCGTCGCCGAGGCCGCGTTCCTTCTGCAAATAACACAATAATCGCGTCCCTCCTAAATTAAATAGATTCGCGCCCTCGGGACCACGACCCTCTTGCAAATTACACTGCACTCGCCTCCCCAGGGCTACGATCCTGGTAAAAATACACTAGATTCGCGTTCAGAGGCCACGATCGTCAGCAAGCTCGCAGAGCGAACTGTCAGAACTGGAGAGGTGGCCTTTCTGTTTTCTTGTCTGTTTTACCCAAAAAATCGAAATACAAATAGAGAGACAGAGAGGGGGCCAGCGGCAATGGGTGAAGCCCTTGCGGATATGTGTGGCGCAATATACGTTGAGAAATATACTTGAGGGGCAGCCTATGTGGAGACATATACGTTGTACACCCTATGTGGTGCCATACGCGGTGCCAAATATGAGGTTCAAGTATGTTGTGGAAACTACATGGTGTAGTCTAGATGGTACAGTACATGTGGTGCAGCTGATTTTTACAAACAAATTGACACATTCTACGCTCTTGTAAGCATCCCACCCGCCCACCCGCAACTTGGCTTGCAAAACAATGCGGCGGCGATTGCGATGAGTGCTTGGCGTTGGCTGGTGTATCTCTGCGGCCGCGCCGACGCAAGCACGCGCGCGCAGCGGCGAGGTAGTTTGGCGCGACCGACGCGGCCGCGGTGGCGCTGACCGCTGGGCACATCCTAACGGGCACTTTAATGCTAGTCGGCGACTTGGGCGGGCGCGGTATCATGGCAACGTCGACACCAGTTGACACGATGATGATAATAGCAATGCTGGTGACGACGTTGACAGCGACGACGACGAGGCCAGCGACAGCGCCGATGCTGATCACGCCGACGACAATGACGGCGTCCTCGCGTCGGTGATGAAGGTTTTGAAAGGAGTTCGATATGTATGCGCGCGTGCGGCCGACACGCGAGAGTGGCCCGCATGGTATTATTTGACACGGATCGTGCCCCCCCAGCACGCGCGCAAGGGCGCGCGAATGATTTCGGCATGCGGCGCGAGAAGCACGTTTGGCAGAATTCTTGAAAATGTTGAAAAACCTTTGGTTTCAGAAGAATTCGCCAGAACGCCAGCACAGGTTGTTTTGAAAACTGGTGTTGCGAAACCATGTGTTTTTAGATGGTTCCAAGGCACTCGGTTTTGAAATCCTTACAACACCTAAGTTTTTTAACTGATTTCGGCATGCGCGCGCGACGACGCACGCGCGTGCACTTCGTCCCATGTGTTGCGAAGGATTCCTGCGACGGCACACGCGCAAGGGCGTTCGAATGATTTCGACATGCGCGCGTGCGAAGCCCGTTTGGCAGCATGTTATGAAAATCTTGTTTAACAAAAAACCTATAGTTTTCAGAAGAATTCGCAAGAGCGCGAGCGCAAGCTTTTGTTTGGAAATCATTGTTGCGAAACCATGTGTTTCCAGATGTGTTTTGGACACTCGATATTCAAATCCTTACGACACATGAGTTGTTGTTCAAGGATTTCGGCATGCGCGCGCGACGGCGCGCGCGTGTGCACTTCGTCAAATTTGTTGCAAGGGATTATTGAAAACTCCTGATGTTTGATAAACGAGTGCGCACGGCTAGTATGTTTGCAGAGGATGGCGAGGGAGGTCGATATCGGTCCCCCTGGGGTGGTATGAATTCAAATTTAGGATGGACGATGGGGCAGAATTATACGCAAATTGCAATTCGAAGAGGGGGACCGATCATCCAGGGGGGTAGAATCGATTCTCTTTTCAGAAAGGAGAATCTGGGTTGTGCACTCTGTGGTCCAATCCATGTGGTGGAATTTCTGCGGTGCAATATATGTTGTGCAAGCTATGTGGTGCAATCTATGTGGTGCAATATTTGCAGTGCAATATACGCGGTGCGATCTGTGTTGTGAAATCTAGGGCGGCGACGAGGCGGCGACGGGGCGGCGACGGCGGCCACATAGCCGCCAGACCAAAGACACGGCCCAGACGACGGGCGGCGACGAGTCAGCGACGGGGCGGCGACGGCGGCCACAAAGCCGCCAGACTGAAGACACGGCCGAGACGGCGGGTGGCGACGAGGCGGCGATGAGGCGGCGACGGCGGCCACATGGCCGCCAGACTGAAGACAAGGCCCAGTACCTCAAAGCAGAAATAAAAATGCCAAAGTGCAAGCACTGTTTGGGGAACTAGTATTAGGTCTGGCATGTCCTCCTACAGGCGGATCGGAAGAAAAATGAACAAACTGTCAGAACATCGCCCAAAAACACTAAAATCGGAGGTTGGGGGGTGAGATCGCAGTGGAACGGAGACCCCCAACAGGGAAATCGTTGCGTTTCGTTCGTGTCGTGCGTGCGGGCGAGGCGAAGCTGCGTGGGCGCGCGAGAGGAATGAACCCGCCGTTGCTAGGGCGAAGTCCAGACAAATGATTATCCCTCTCCCGCCCGTCCGTCCATCCGGCGGTGGCTCGCGGTGTCCCGCGGTGTCCCGTGGGGTCCCGTGGTGTCCCGTGGTGTCCCGTGGTGTCCGCCGTTGCTAGGGCGAAGTCAAGACAAATCATT